CCTTCGTTCGGCCCTGGCCGGTTTGCCCGCTCTCGCCTACCCTGACTTTGACGCCCCTTTCCAGTTATGTTGTGATGCAAGTGACTTTGCTATTGGTTCTGTCTTGGAACAAGAACATCGTCCGCTAGCGTTCTTTTCTCAAGTTCTTACGGGTGCTCAGCTTCGTTGGCACACGTATGAGAAAGAAGGTTATGCACTGGTCCGTTCGCTGGAAAAATTTCGTCACTACTTACTGGATACTCCGTTCAAGGTCACGGTATTCTCTGATCATCGGCCCTTACAACAGTTGGCTAAGTCGAAGTCCCCACGAGTTGAACGTTGGTTGCTGGCTATGCAAAACTTCCGCTTTGAAGTCCGTTACAAAGAAGGTGTTAAGAATATTAATGCCGACGCCTTGTCCCGACCACAACTGCAAGTTGAATCCAAGGCCCCTATTCCTACTAAGTCTTGTCCCGTCCGTTCAAATCTCGAGGTTGTTCCTCCAGATTCTGTGGTGGTTGCAGAAGATCCGGAACTGTCAGGCTTGTTACCTGACACTATGAAGGATCCCCTGATTGCCGCAGTGGTTTTATGTCCGTTATGGTCATGGGATAAACTTCGAGAAGCTCAAGAACAAGACCATGTGGTTTGCGAGGTTCGTGATCGCGTCTTAGTGGATGCTCCTTTGGGTCGTAAGGAATTCACTTCTCGTCTATATATGCCCTATAGGCGTATTTGGTCGGTTCTGGATGTCTGTGAAGGTGTTCTTGTTCGCCTTTTGAAGACAGACCCACTGACTCCCGTCCGTTGTGTAGCCATCGTTCCTACTGCGTTGAGAGGCGAAGCTGTAGCCTACTTCCACGATGAGAAGGGTCACTTTGCGGAGAAACGGATGCTGGAGAATATGAAGCCGGTGGTTTATTGGCCTAATATGCATGTTGATATCAATGAGTACCTACAGAAGTGCCCCGGTTGTCTTGCTGCCCGTACTGGTCGTCCGACTCCATCCCCTTTGGTACCGGTACCGGTTGGAAGGCCATGGCATACCTTGGCTGTTGACTACTTGGAGATCACGCCTGCGGTTAACGGTAAAAAGTATTTGTTAGTCTTGCAAGACTACTTTACTAAGTGGGCTGAAGCTTACCCGTTAGAGCGTGCTACGGTAGAAGAGACTTTACCTCATCTCTTAAACCTCTTCTCTAAGTTCGGCCCGCCTGTCCGTATTCACT